GTGAGGGAGGATGGCTGTGAAGTTCCCTTTTCTACACACCGTTGGGACGTCATTAAGAAGCCCGGCCCAATGTACGCATTATCCATGAGCTTCGTTCGAGCAGGACCTGGTATACATGCTTCCGAGATGAAGTACTTTCGTGACGAATTGTCGGTGCTACGTGTCATGAGAGAATAGAGAAAGACGGCATCCCTGCGAACCTTCACGTTAAGCAGCTACGCCTTCGTATCAAATGATCCCAGCCCATAGCTTTGGATTAGTCTTCCGCATATCTCCCAGAGACTCATAAGGGGGGTGGCTTCCTTTCTAATATGGCTAGCTAATTGACCAGACGGTAAATTTCGTGGAAGGGGGCGGACTATATCCGGTACGTTTTGTTAAGAGAGGCTGAGTATGCCACCTGCCCAGCCCGAAAGTCTACCCCATGGCGAGCAGCCCTGTTGAACCGCGATCGCATTAAGTTGGGATACGCAGGGAATGTATGCATGAATGCTTTAATGTTTTATATTTCAAATGGTGTGTATTTCTTCCAGGTAACAATGCCTGGCGGAGAGGAGATATTATTCCCTAAGGCGCGAGAAGTATATCTAAAGGAGAACTATCAACAGGCTGGGAAAATTTCCTATTCCCTACCATCAGGTCTTCTCCTTAAAAAGTCAGACCTAGAGAAACTGAAAGAACCAAATCAAGGTACAGACATTCTCGACAGTGAAGTGGTCCGAAAACACAATGACGTTGCTACTGTCTTCAACAAAGCGAAAGAAATATGTGGAGCTGCTCCATCTTTGGTGATTGCTGATTATGTGATCTCTCAAACATTCAACCAAGGCAAGAAATTGACTAAGGCCATTGCAGAAAAGAAGCCAGATATAGTTGATCATATTAAAGACGATTTTGGCCATGGTATATTTTTGTGTTATCCAGTTAAGGAGAAGGTGTACAATATTTTTTTTCAAATCATAAAACCACCTTCCCCTGGCCAGAAAACACTTGACCAATTCGGAAAAAAGAATTTCAAAGATGCCATCTGGAACTGCTTTATTGACAGGACTATATTCACTACAGTATGTGACCCCTTCCTGGATAAAAATGCAATCATTCGTACCTTTCCCGCCTTACCTTCCATTTGGAAAAAGGATATGTGGTCGGATATATGTGGTACATGTCGTGATATGATTTTGACTCGAGATAATCTCGAGACTGCATCCAGTATGGAGACATTCCTTGAAAACAACGATGTAGAACTTCCTAATTCCGGTGCCGAAGAAAGTACCGCTGAAGACAATTGTGCTGAAAACAAACTGTTCCTCAAAATTTTTTCTCTTTATGTCTGTGCATCGTCTTCTGTTGAAATGCCGCGGACTTCCCAAGAGTATTTCCAATTCGCTTATAAGCAAATGGAGGAAACATTGTTCATTCTGACTAAGCAACAGATGGACCTTGTGAATTCAGAGAAGCCGTTCCTCCCAATCACAGGGGGGCCAGGGACAGGAAAGACCTTCGTATTAAAAAAGAGAGCAAAGCGACTTGCAGAGACGGATAATAACGCTCAGGTGGTAGTGGTAAACCTTCCAGGAGGACATCTCACAAAAGACTTCGAGGAATATTTTAAAGGTCAGTAATATCCATACTTTTTTACTAAGTTGAAAACAAATCCCAAATGGAAGCCGAGAGCTACATCGCTTGCGTCATACTTCGCACCCGATAAATATCACTTTCCAAACTCTTGCAAGGAACAAGCCATTTAAGTTAAGGGAATTGTATTCATAAATGTTGGGAAAAATGCGATTGACTACCGATTAAAAATACCAGATTTGTTTTGCTTTCTTGTGCAACGCATGCGTTTCCAATAAACGGGTTTTGCTCCTCGCATACAGACATAATCCCATGCCACTATTACAACATGAACATCATGCGTTTTACATTGGAGCACTTCAAACAAATCGATCGGTGGAATATGAACGCCTTCTCAGAGCACCGTCAAGTTCCCAGATGAGATGTACTTATTGATTCATTCCAATGTAAGGACCATGTCAATGGGCTTCTGGCACAAAGGTGAAGCTGACTTAAAGTAAACCATGAGGCATTGATGCGATGTGCATTTTTGGCATGTAATTTTCACAACATTTTCCAACCTTGGAGTCATCCTGGAAGCATTTTTAAGAGGCTGTTTCCTGACAAAAAATAATAATATGAAGACTGCATTGATCCTATAAAGAATAAGCAAGAGCTACCAAACGTGGATATAATATTATGAATAATTTTCAGAAACCGACTTGCATTCTAGGTAGGCATTTTTTTTTTAGCTTTGAGTAGCTATGAGGTCAGTGGCGAACCTAAGTATTATTGTGATGTCAGCAGATTTTTCCTTCCTTGTGAGCCCAATATCAATAGGCACGGTAGCGCCTACCACTTTCCTTCAACCCATTCCGGCGACAAAATTCAACCGTCTCGTATTCCTCTCTGGTAGCATCAACAGAAACAAATTTTGGCTTGCTTCTTCCTCTCTCAACAAAAAATCGCTCCAGCACATTTGAAGCTTAATCTCCTCGGGGTTGTACAGATCACAGAATTTTGCTTTTCGGAGATGTGAATTTAATTCCAGTATTTTTTTACTCCCCTCCCTGGGGTAGCCACTCCTAGGAAGTTTTTGTAGGAAAGACACCAACCGAACAAAAGATATCACCTTTGTGAAAAAAAGGTGACAAAATGTATCCTTTTTGTTCCTTCCACTGCACCATTTCGCCACAAAAAAATGAAATTAGCTGTAATTCAATTGGGCATTGTGTGATGACTCCGGTCCCATCCTCCAGTGTTGCCGGATATCGTGCCGGAGTTATGCCATATTCATGTCTTCTTCAGCCTTAGTATCGACGCCTGCATATTCTTTTTTTTAACATATGAGATAATTTTGTGCCGAGTTTATTAGATGAAGTGAGATTGAAATGGTGGGTAGCAGTGGCCGATCGATTTGATAGAATATGGAGAACTCTCATTCGGACATCCTTAAATTAACAGGAAGATGTCAAGTTGGATTCGATGCTTCCTAGAGGCATTTTATCCTCAGAACTCGTGGAAAGGCTGGAGGAACTCTAGATAGGCCTAACGTTCCTCATCCAAAATGAAATGGTTCATGGAACTTCAATTACACCTCTAATCGGTCTAAAGTTACACGTATTCTCTTAAAAGGGCTATGAGAGACTAAATAGGCCTGCGATTGGCCTAACGTTACACGTTCTCGACGAGAGGTCTCGATCAGGGATCTATCCTTAAAGGCCTAACTCGCCAAGAAATTGGATTTAAAATTATTTGAAAGAAAAAAGGTAGGCCTAAGTCTGACCCGAAGACAGTCCGTCGATTAGGCCTAAGCGTAACGTTAGTGAGTTCCATAGAGAAGGGGGGAGGGAGGTAAGGTGAGGTTGAGACTGAGGTTGGGGTTGAAGAAGGGAAAGCCTTTGAAAAATGGGTTTTCACATTACTAGATATGTACGAGGGGTATTTAAAAAGTTCTGGGAATTTTTTCTATCACCGCAACGGCTGATCAAAGCCTACCGCAAACGTATCGTAACCTATCGTAAACATGACTGCAAAATATTATTCACTGGGCATGCGTCAGTAAGAAGTTGTCCGTTTTCCCGTAGGGTACACTTTGTCAGTTATATTAATAGAAGACGCGGTAAATTATCATAGAGCTATCATTTTCTTTTCGTGGAAGGAATGGAAGGTATTAGGACGTCTGAAAATCGTTAACGTTTGAAAGTAGTCCTTGGTAAATCTGAGTATAAAAGTACCGTCTATCGCTGGATTGATCGCTTTAAGAATGGAAGAACGAGCCTTGAAGATGACCCCCGCAGTGGTCGACCAAACACTGCTGTTTACGAGAAAATGGTACGCAAGCCGTGGAAAATTTTACAAGACCGTCTTGGAATGAGAAAGGTTTCTGCACGTTTGGTTCCACGGATGTTGGGGCCAGAACAGAAACTCAATAATGTGGAGGTTTCTTCCGAGTTGTTGGCTCTACAGGAACAATATGGGGATAGTTTATGGCAACGAATCATCACGCGGCGGCGACCTTCTGATGGCCTTCCACTAAAAGAAAGGACAATGCCATATGTTGGTAAGGTTATGATAACGGTGTTTTGGGATTGCCAGGGAATAACCATGATTGATTATCTACAAAAAGTTTCCACAATGAAAGCACAATATTACTCTGATTTGCTGAAGGGACCACTGCGTGAGGTACTCATTCCCGACCATTACTGCAGCACTAGCCGACCCGTGAAAGACTTCCACGAACTCTTCGGCAAGAAATCCCAAGTTCATTCGGCGGCCCTAAAACTCAGTGGCCCTCTCATCGCTATAGGCAGCATCCCCTCTTTCCCATTCTTTACGTGTCCCCACGTATGAGCCTTGGAGTCCCTTTTCATCATGCTGAAGGGAGGATGGCGTCCTCGCCGGGGTGAGATCTTCGCCCTTACATTTTCGGCCCTTTTTCCTATCGATCACAACCCTGTCCGCTTCGTCCGTAAAGACCAACTCCATCACTTTGCGTGCAATCCTAGGAGTGAAATATACGGATATGGATACGGAATAGTAAAGACCCAACCGGCGGCATCCTTGCGATCCAAGAATAAGCCATCCTGTTCTGTCCCACCGGAGACCCCAACTTGTCGGAGAACTCGAACTCCGGGTCGGCATAGGTTAAGCGTGTAACATTTTCTGATATTCACGAGTTCAGTCGGCGGCCCTATTAATGCTCTACACAGCAGCCGTTTGGACATTGTACTTCTTGCATAACTCCCCCCGTTTTCCCAAGGGGGTGTTCACGTCTACGATACGGACTTTTAATGAGTGGCACTCGTATCCAGTATCGATCGCGATCCTGTGCTTATCATCCGTAGGGTCCATCTCCCCACTACTCATGAGGGCCTGTGAATAAAAAAAAACACGGATAGGGAAAAGGGATAGTTACTACTCGGGTGACGTCGTCTTTTTGTTCCATGGGTAAGCGCTCCTGTCCATGAGGTAGGATCCCGCCGTTTTCACCCTCGGGAGTCACTCTCCTTGTGAGAGTGCGGATCTAAGGTGAAGACGGAGTTCCGATTGATAAAGGGGTCGGGATCCCGATAAATACATGGACGGAGATCTCATCCCGGCGAGGAAGTCGTCCTTCCTTCAGGGATGAATGTGTAACACGAAGGTTGTTTTACTCGTCCCTGCAGAAAAGTCCGTATCGTATGTGTGAACACTCTTTAAGTTGGGAGGGGGGTATGTGCGCGTGCGCAGAATGCCTGTCTCTCATATATTGTTAGGAATGGCATGGAGAGGGGCAACAGAATGTCTTTGGTTCGGGGTGTAGTGGCAACTCACTTGACCGGCAATCAGGAGGCCCCGGTTTCGATTCCCGCCTGCTCCATCGTTTTCTTTCGTCCTCTTATGCTCTCTGATATCTGAACTCTTCCCTCCCCTACCCCTCCGGCTATTACGTTCTAAAGACAGTCGCAACGGCCTAAAAAAAAAGTGCGAGCCGGAGAGAGGGAGACGTACACCCCGAGGGAGGCAGAAGATGCCGCACATGGACTCGCAGACATACAGACGCCCAAGCATAATGTACGCTAAAGACAATGCGAGGCCGCACACTGCTCGTCTTACGAAGGTCGTTTTATCAGATCTGCGCTGGGAATTGCTGCCACACCCGCCCTATTTTCCAGGCCTGGCTCCCAGCGACTATCATCTGTTTGGGGAAATGAAAAACCTCTTCGAGGATCCATTTTGAGTCTCTAACAGAAGTTAAAGCAGCGACGAATTAGTGGACAAAACGTACTCCACAAAATTTATTTGAAGATGGATTTAAATTTACTCGCTGGCACAAATATATACAGCTAAATGGTGATTATGTTGAAAAATTGCACAGTAGTATCTGAGAAAACTAGCATAATAAAAAATTAGCACCCCAATTCCCAGAACTTTGTGTACAGCCCTCGTATTTCTTTTGGATTTGATCCTTTCATTACGGAGCGCATAACCTTCGCGTTTTATGACAATTATTCATCTGAGTTATTCCGATATTAATGCTTTTTTAAAATTTTGTTCCTACTCTAGCACCAAAGAAGCATTTTCTCAATTGAAACCGTTTCATGTTTGCATGTTTACCTATTCACTTCTTTCAGCATTATGTCTTCATTCAACATACAGTCTATTCTATAAATGGCTTGATTAGCGATTCATTCCTTTTTATGAAATTCATTTTTGCGGTCAAGTTTGACTCTGATGGAATGGTAGCACTCAGTTTGATGAGACAAAGTGGAGAAAATGGTATCTCATGTTCTCTGATAAGCTAAGAGCTCAGAAGAAAACATTGACTGTCTTCTGTATGTTTCAGGAAAGAAAAACGTCACGGTGATCGATGGGAAAAAAAGGAGAATCTTGGAGACGTTCGAAGAGATCATCTCTTTTATTAAAGAAGAAGGAATCGGGAAAGATGTTCTATTTGACGAAGTTCCTCTCACCCTTGGAATGCCGGGACGGCCGGATGAGGAGAGCCTTTCTAATCACTGGAAGGGCATCATCCACAAGGTTAAGGGTGTGAAGAGCCTCACGGTGGCATTCCGACCACATGATGAGACTTATAAGAGTGACATCTCTCTCAGCGATATCAAGATCGATGACGTCGACATCAATGTCATGAAAATTGTGATGAGGAACACTTGGAATGTCACAAAGTTATTCTTAGCCCTTGGTGATTACGCACGCAGAATTTTTGTCTGTCAGCAGCTCTCTCTTCGCGAAATGAAATTCTACAAACCTCAGCCAAATGAGGATGTGTTATTGCCAAAGTGTCTTCCCATTTTGTCTTGCTTTCGACTTCACAATACCTGTGGGGAACAAAATATCTGTGAAGCAGTGAGATCCTCCCACTTATTGCTGTCACTATTTTCAGGAGACACTCCAGGATATCGTAAGCCCCTGTATGCTGTTGTGGACACCACGGAGAGAAGAAATTACCTTGTGAACATTCTTCAAGATGTGTACAGGACTCCAGTTGGATTTGTGGATGAGCACGGAATGATCCATGGTACGAATTCCTCCTGTATTTTAGTTGTGACTGCTGATCAGATATTAGGATGCCACGTGAAAGAAGCCATTGTCATTATGGACCTTCCAAACTCAAAATGGAGGAATTATATTCGTATGATAATTTCATGCCATAAGAACATCACAATTTTCACTGAGCAGGAAGATCTAAAAACTGGAAAATACTCCCAGATCATGGACACGAACGTTGAAGGTATGCCAGATCCCAAGCAGAAAGCAGAGCTATTGAATAAATTGCAGGAAACGGAGAAGAGTAATGTTGCAAAATGGAATGAACTTAATGCAGAAAGATGTCCCTGGATTAAAGTTTCTTTGACCAGCCAAGACCACCACAGGACCCACCAGGATCCGCCAGGATCGCAAGCCTCAAAAAAGAGATTGACAGTAATTTTTGGCCCCCCATGCTCAGGGAAAAGCAAAACCCTGTTGAGAAGGATCGAAGCTCTTGGGATTTCTTTTCAGTCATATGGCGACTCATCAACAGCGGCCAATCAGGAACAAATTCGGCAAGGAATCCTCCTCCTACATATGGGAAGCGCTCTTTGTCAAAAAGACTCACTTGATCATCTCCGCACCTATCGGAATGTGTTGGAATTTCGGCGGACAGATGCATTGTCTCCTAATGAAATCGTCAACTACAATGGCCTGCATGAAGTTCAATGGACGCTTCATAGCAAAATTACCAATTTGTTTGTGGATGATTATTGCATCCAGGCCCCCGACATGGATAAAGAGAGGGAAAATTGGTTACGTGCACTTGAAGAGTTGAATAAGAAGGAAAGGCATCTCTTGCTGACTGTGGTGTTCTCACCTCACTCGAAATATGGTGGGCATTTCTCAATGAAAAAGTTGATTACATTTTTCCAGAATCCGAAGCTTGATGTGGAAGTCATTGAACTACCTGATTCAGAGCACCCCAATATGTGTACAGATCCACAGTTTCTGGAGAAAATTCTTATAAATGAGACCTCCAAGTCGTTACAGCTTGGAGTCAACAGCCTTGCCACAGGCTCCCATCCGGGAGCATTGGTGCCTGGCCCAATGCCAAAGCGCATCAGTATATCATATCAATGTCTTGAGCAGCACGCTGGTTACAAGTGCAAAGGACAAGAAAAGTGTATGCCCTATATTTGTGCGTTTTCTTGCTTCAGGTATGTGCTTGAACAAGTAAAGAATTTGCCCACCGTGCACGTACTGCTGTCAGACGCGAATCTAATGAAATTGCTACAGAGTAGCGAAGACTGTGGCGAGAATCTAACCTTTGTACACCCCAATGATTTTCGAGGATGTGAATCCAATGTTGTCGTTTCTGTGAATGTTGATACTTTCTATCTCTTGGAAAGCCTGTCAAGAGCGCGAACGCAACTCTTCATCATCGACTACTTATTAGATAATGAAGAAGCTTGGCGCACCATGGAAAAGGATAAACGAGTGGATAAGGAAGTAGTTCAAGATCACATTGCTTTAGACAACCAGACGCTTCTCAGCCTAGATAACTTTGGAAAGTTCCTGGTCCGGGGAATTTTTAATGAGGTATGAGCCCTTCCCTGTGTATCTCTATCTGTTGTTCATCATGAGTTCATGTTGTTCAAGTTTGCATTACATCATAGTGTAAGACGTGACAGCTCTGGACGTGAGACAAAAATTAAACATCAATGAAGATTGTTAGGCTAGGGAAGGCATTACCATTAGTAACTAGAATGCAGATATTAACTGAGCTAGCGGAAAACATTAAAATCCCAACATTAAAGTCTGTCGAGTTGGTATTACTCTACTTTTTATCAACTTAGTCGAGTTAAGTCTGCCGCTTTGGGAAAATGAGAAATACACATCGTCATTTGATATATTTCCAATCTGCGAGAATGTGTGCTCCTAAAGTTTCATATACAGGGTGGTCCAGGTCAATTGTAACGAACAAAACTGCAATTTTCTTAGAAACGGCATGTTTTATTGATTTGAATTTTCCACAGCATGTTCCTGACATAATGTACCAGACATGACGTAAGTTTCACTTAATGTGGCCACCTTTGACCTTGATTATGGCCTTCAACCTCTTCTCGAAGTCTTTGATGCTTTTCTTCGCCAGTTTCTCTGGAATATTGCCCCCAATACGAACCAAATCTTGTCTGAGATGATCCAGACTGTGGTAGTACTTGGAACAGTCCTTAGACTTAGAAATCTGCCATATGGCGTAGTCATGAGGGCTCAGATCTGCAGATGACGGAACCAGTCTTCCTTGGTCATGAACCCTGGGAAATTCTTACGACACCAGTCATGGGTCACATTAGCCGTATGAGACCTCCGTCCTGCTGGAAAGCCCAGGGCTCATCCCCGAACATATCTTGAACCCATGGGGGCAGGGAGTCCAGCAGAATGGGTTTTATGTGGACATCGTTGTTGATTTTGATGCCCTCGGGAACGAAGTCGAGGGGGGACTTGCCCCTGTTGGTGATGGCGGCCCACACCATAACTGAGGCCGGCTTCTGGGTGCGGAACACCACATGGTCGGGAATCTCCTGTCGACTTCGTGCCAAAACCCGATCACTTTGCCTTTTGTGGACTACCTACCGAAGACAATGTTGGGGGCCGAACCATACATGAGCCTCTCCAACATCTGACTACTTCGGGACAGTCTCTTACTCTTGGTGGCCGTAATGAGGTACTGTCGCTTCTGGAGCCGGTAGGAGGTGAACCCTCGATAGTTCTTGACCATCCTCATCATCGTCGACCTCGAGACATCCATCTCCTTCGCCATCTTCCTGATGGAGCAGTTGGGATTGCGCCAAATCCAGAGCCTGACCTGGTCGACCAATTTATTCGTTTTTGTGGTCTTCTTGCTGCCTCCAAATCGTTTGCCAGTAGAGCATGTCTCACTATATCCATCCAATATATATTTGATGAAAGGTTGGCTCAAATTAAAATTCTTGCCCGCCTTTTCAATTTCCGAAACTTTCAGGCCCTGTTCATGAAGTTCTATGAATAACGACCGCCTGGCTTCAGTCGCCATTTCATCCACTTGTGTTCAAACGACAGAGTCAAATTCAAGACTGGATTAAAGGGGTATTAAAGGAGTATAATTTGGGGTGAGACGGAGCTTTAAAATTTTCTTACACTTGGCCTGAACCAACTTGTATAAAGGAAGATGTCAAAAACCGCACCCCGCGTTACAAACCAAACCAGGTGTCAATCGATAGATCTTGATGAGCAGATCAAATTTGTCAATGGGAACAAATCTGTCAGAGTGCGATCATTGAGTTATAGGTCATCAAATTTCAAAACTTCGGTTGCACTATTTCTTTTGCAACGCTTACAAATGTACAAATTAAAATGTTGTTTCAAAGTTATCTGCGACTAGGGAGTCCCGTCCTGATACCTAGCAACTATGCGGTCACTAGGTGCCATACACTCCTGGTGGCAATCAAAAGAAAACCAATCTGGCTTCGTCGGATGTCAGATTGACGTTTTTGACTCTTAAAATTGTAATTTTCTTGAACTTATCCAGGGTCCAGGCTCGTCCGCATTTTTACATTTTCTTTCGAGTTGAGGTATGCACGAATTTTGACAGACCGACTGAGCTTTCCAGCATCTATGCAACGAGGGTTAGAAAGCTGAAAATGCTGTTAGTAGCAAATGAGCAACAAGAACATTTTCGAGCCTACTGATTACAAAATTCATTTTTTTTATTTTTCAATTGATCTAGGATGTGAGTGAAACCTACCAGATTCTTTTCGCCGAAAAGGAAAAACATCATGCATTAGAGGGATAACAAACGTTGCGTAAGTATTAGAACAACCGAAGTTTAGAACTTTCATGAACTTTCACTCAATGATCGCACTTTCTGACAGATTTGTGCCCATTGAAAACTTTGATCTTCCCATGAAGATCTTTCGATTGACATCTGTTTTGGTTTGCAACACGGGGGACAGCGGTCCCATAGAAAGTTGGCATCCTCCTTTATTCACGGATCCTTATTTATACTTTCTTCAATGTCAAATATTTTAAGTATTGTTCTCCAAGACATTTTCCTCAGGAAAATTAGCCTTTCATATGGAGTTCTCTCATGCGATAGGTTACCTGGGATGAAACGGCGAAAAGGGTTGGCGAATGGGCAATGGGTAAAGAAGATTTTCGGAATGATGTGACTGTCTCACTCACCGTTGAGACACGAAAAGCTCTGCAAAGTATAGACCCTAAATTTCCCTGGTCATCATCATCTCCTTTCCATGATTGGTGTTATATATATGAAAAAGGTAAGCAAAGCTTGAAGTAAGTCGTTCTTTGCAAATACGATGTACAGAAATTCCGGTTCAACGTGAAGCCTCGCCCATACAGAGGGGGGGTTAGATATGAAATGACAAGGGCGCCCGCTTCCCTTGAATTTCATATCTATATCAAGGAAGCTCATATTGAATTAGTTGTAAAAATTCTAAAATCCAAAGGAGGAAATGATTTATTTCCCTAAGAAGTAGAATAAGCGATTTCAGATCAATCACCTATGAACACTTCAATCACCAGCAAGGGAAGGGGGACTAATGAGCATTTCTAGCTCATGAAAGACAAGCCTTTTTAAGCAATCAAAACTAAAGGGTGCTTGGAAATCGTCCTCCACCCCCCCCCCCCTCCCCTTTTACGCCGAAGTCCATTTTTGGCAAATGAAACCCAACCACACCATTTAAAGTAGAGTATGTCGCTTAATGTTTTAGATACGAGGATAACACGAAGTTCCTTGATACTGAAAACGCATAACTGTTCGATTTTGTCCTATTTATTCTCAAGTTGCTATCCTTGGACATTAATTCATTTTTATTTCCTGGAAAGAATGTCTCTAACAGAATTTTTCAAATGCAGATGAGGAATCATCCGAAATTGCTGAAAGAGTAGAGAACTGCATTTTTTGAAGGGTAAAAATGGCTTCAATGCAGCGATGATTTCACCTTTGAAATTAGACAAAGTTTAGCTGATTCATATCAGACCCACATCCTGAGGGGGTAGCATGCATGTTCCCTCAGGCCCTTTCATGCCTGGCTCATTCAAAGGAGTTGAGGAGGTCAAGAAACCTACATTTCGTGGTGAATCGTCCATGATTGTAAAGATGATCAAACTTTTCCAGCGATTCGATTGCCAAAGGGGGAAAAACTCGACCCGCCATTTTTATATCACTACCTTTCAGCTTTCAAGAGGAGTGGTGTTGATGTAGCTAGTGATCAAGAATAAACTTATTTCATTGTTCCCATATATTGGGTTGGAAAGAAAATATTGCAGCACTCTGCGCAAATTTTTCAAAATGTTATAACTTTATCGAAATGCAATTTCAGTCTACAATGAGAATGACCATTGTTGTCTATGAAAGTGTTGCAAGACTTTCTTTCCAACCCAATATTTTTGAGCTCTGTGAGTTCAACATCGTATCATAGTCTAGTTGGTATTTCACGATATCACCATCACTATGTGGACTTAAAACTGGCTTTTGTGAGCCAGAGTGGAACCATGAGTTTTCCTTGTTCCTTTCTGGGTTATTCACACTTTAAATGATGTGATAGTACCATTCAGCAAGTAATCTTTCTTAGAGTGCTGAGTTTGTCCATGATAGCGTTTTATGCTTACTCAACCCCCCATTATGTCCATACCTCCCAAAAAGTATTTGTCCCTTTTTATCACCTCAAGCTGAGCAAGAACTGCTTCTTCCGTCAAAGTCACAGCAAGACTCGAACTAATTAGACAACTGCCTACATACAAAAGTATATAAATACTCAGACGTTACACGTGTAAAAAAATGCTTTCCTCCGAGGCACTAGCTGTAAAACTTCAAAGTTTATGAATATTTAGTCCACTTCTGATACGGATAAAAGCATCGCAGTGAAGTGTAAGCAGTAAATATGCAATTGTATTTCCACTCATTTGCCATCAACACGCAAAAATGTATCTAATCGCTTTAAGGAAGCGTAAATCTTCAAATTTTTCTAGACTGGCTTTCACTGATGGATATTATTTTGAGGGACCTTTGTCACTCGAAAAGAGCGTCATACAGCAGCATTCTGAAGACCACATAGTGACCCTTATAATGGTAATAGGTTATTAATATTTGTATACAGAAAAAGGAGAATACAATTTGAGCGGATACGTGTTCTAAGTTTTAATGAACGGTAAAACCATAGAAAATGAACTCGGAGGGATTCTTGACAATTGCGAAGAGTAAATAAGAAGCAAATGTCTTCACTTAAATATCACCAAACCTATTTCACAAATTATTTATATTTTTATATCGAAAGTGGTAAGTAATCATTCACAGGAAAAGCCTCATTATGGAAACGATTACCTTAACAAAATTCGTCAGCATCGACGTGAATCATCATGGTGAAACATGTCTGTACATTAGCTCCTGACTCGAATCGGGCATACGCTCATGAAACAGAAAATCATCGGTGATGCTTGCCAAAACGTTGATCTTTTTAAATCGCTGCTTGCTATAGCAAGGAATTAAGCAAGCAAGAGTGATTAAAGAGCAAGACTTCGTGCCGAAAATACGCTATGACCGGTCGCAGGCCGGCCAATAGATCTGGATGTACGTGGTAGCTTGACGGGGACTGACGCCCCGAAATACATGGAATTGCCTGGTTTGGTAGCTACTTTATCGGTAATTACCCATAAGCACAATACATATTGCGGACTTGAAATGTCCTTGGCGACGAGCGATCCAAAATGAAGCTCCTCAGACAATGAGTCTTGCAAGTTTTAGTTCGCTTCGGTCTCCCTCAACAATAGCCCCTGTATCTTACTACGACCTGGGATGCCACGGTCTTCACAATCACTAGGGTATGTCCTCGCTCGTGAGTGTGCGAAGTATGAAACTCCAGCCAGTAGACATTGTGCAAGGTGATCAAAATAATTCGGGAGCCTTTGCCGCGAGAGGCTCGGATAAACACCTGCTGAGCTCGAGTCCATTGTCCAGAATCGCGAAAAGTGGAGAAGATGCTCCTCCGCCTGCTTGAACTGTGATTATGTTACATATGAGTAATCTATTACGAAAAGGTATGTTGACTTAAAAGAGTACGTGGTGTTGCCTCTAGCTGAAAATTAGGGCAAAGCCTTCAAACGTTTTTTTTTCCAAAAGCTACAAAGTACAACGTTTGCAAGTGACCACAAAATCCATCCATCAGTTCATTCACTCGTCAATCCATCCATTTCCATACTAAATTAGAAGACGCCAAGGCGTTTTGTACTTTATGTAGCCGATAAGCCTACAAGCCTTTGTCTTTCCAAGTCATAGTTTTGGTGGGATGGGCTAAATAGCTAAATGATTTAGAAATGAAGCGACGCGATGCGAGATGCCCACTGAACTGAAGGGGCGATTGGATTATCCGCCAGATTTAAAAGCGCTGTCGATAGGGGAAGATGCAAACGCCTGGCAGAACAAAAGCGCAAACGCGTTTCATTGTTCGGTGCAGTGATTGTTTTACTTTCTAGTAATGATCCATGCTGCTTCAAAATATCCAGCGAGATCTATCACCTGGCTACGTTCATCCTAAATCCTTTTGATGATGTCGTTCCTCAGTTAAATAAAAATCAGAAACCAGCAGATGGTCGACTCTACTTTTACGAAGCGGATGCAATGGTTCAAATGCAGTAACACATGACAATCCGTTACAGGAGGTGCATCACTGTTTCTTCATCGGCGGACCAGATGGCACTGGTAAAACATTACTGTATAAAACTCACATTCATATTTTGAAAAGGACAGAACTTTTATGAGCGTTGCTTGGATTAGTATTGCTGCACTAATACTGTCTGATGGTATTTGTCACACACGGGCTTCAACATGCCATTGGATCTGCTAGTGCATATAACGTCGTATATCGAGAAAAAATTCTGGCGATGATTCGAACTACAGTCGTCATCATTTGGGAAAAAGCGCAATGAATTCAAACAATGGATTTAGACAACATGCAACAATTGCAGAGCTTCACTTTTCTAACAAACATTCCATATTTGTAGCTCAGTGCGCCTACTATCGACGGTTTGATGTTCATGAAGCGTCTTGTGAACATTCGATACTATTCGTCGGTGTGATGCACATTATCTGCCAATGATGGTGTTGCTGAACAATCATGATCCGGAAGATCTCGCAGCAGCCGAAGTTTGCAACATGTAGGAACTGAAAAAGTGAAGCTCCACATTTGCTGCATGATCTTCACCTGTCGAACAATTAAGAAAACTCAACAGTCTAGTCAACAACCTTCAAAAAAGGAAAATCATATCACAAATATCAGAAGTTATGGATAAATAAGTCCCGTACACTACTTTTTCGACACCCTGTAGTATTTGTTCAGATGGACCATCTGGACCTCTGGACCATCCCATACAAAGCATTTGCTTTTGCTTAGCATGTTGATATTGGTACTGTCTGAAGCAGAAGAAAAGACCGCTTAATGGGAGGCATCCAATGTTTTAAATGCGAATTGTATGCAGGGTGCCACAAATTAACGGACGATTTGGGGGGCTTGTAATTTTTTTATTGAGAACACATGCAGAAAACTTATTTACTACAAAACAGTCTCCCAATATCCAAGTTTTTTCCCGTATAGATGAAGGTTCATATTTTTACCGCTAGTGGCGTGACCATCGGACGAACAGTAATGACGGAGTTCAGTGTTCAACAAATGGGTCGGCCGAGTTGGACCTATCCCAGTCTTGGTCGAGCGTTCGTAGCGTGAGGACGTGTTGGAGGATACTCTCAAGATTCTGTCAGCTAAGTCGGGAGTTAGTTGCTATTTGGCTACTCTGTAGCAGTATGCATTAGTTGTTTTCAGATAGCTAGCTCCTACTTCACGTTATATCAGTGTCAAACAGCTTAATTATTTAAATTTTTAGCGCATTACTCGTAGTATTCTTTTCTCTGCAAGGACTAGGACAGTCTTACCGGGTCACAGTGTGAAGTACGGCAAAGTATAAGTCTAAGGCAATGGAAGTGTCAATAGGGATCAATAACATTAAGACGCCTAGGATGTGTAGATGTGTTCGTTGGAGAGATTGGGTTGGTGGGAATAGTGAGCGAGAGGTATGCCAGGTATGCAGAGTTTGTAGCTTGGAGGAGCGACTAGGGGAGCTATTGGGGAGGCTCATTAGCGTGGAGGAGGAGATAAGAGGGATCAGGAAGGAGGTGGGCGAGATTCAGAGGGATGATTTAATGGCGGGACTAGTTAGGGTGGAGGAAGCACTGAGGGGGTTCCCCAGCCTTCCGGACATTACTGGGAGGGTGGCCCTTTGGTCCTTTGACAACGCGTCTAGTGCCGACTCCCAGATGGCTAGTAATTGGGCTCAGGTCATAAAGGGGGTGAAGGTTAAGCGATCCCAAGAGGCTGTCATTAAGACCGAAAATAAGTTTCTCGGGTTGAGGGAGGTCAGCTTGGATGAGGGAGCGGAGGGCGAGGTGGAAGCAGGTGAGAGGTCTGCAGGACGAACTCAGGCCGTGTCGAAAGGGAGAGGGAAAACTCGGGCCCTTGTAATCGTCGGTGACTCGAACGTCAGGCGTTTTGAGGGAGCGATGGAAAAAGATTCAGGAGCTCAGGTTTCTTTCAGTCAGTTTCCCGGTGCTAGGATTGAACACATTAGGGATAAGGTCGGATCGGGGGTGTGCTCTGTGTCAGCCGAGGAAGTGTCGGTGGTCCCTCACGTAGGGACCAACGATACTCCTAAGTCTGGCTCTGAACTCATCATGGGCAGACTGAGACATTAGGACTATTAGGGCGTGTCGGGAGGCAAGGTCGGGGATGCGGGTGACAATATGCGCGATCCCGAGCCGGCTAGACAAGGGAGGAATCACGCGGTCCAGGTCGGAAGGGGTTAATGACAGGTTGAAGGAGTTACGAGGCGCGGAAGGGGCAGCGTTTCTGGACACTAGGGAGTCTTTGAGGCGCTGTAGAAGTCCGATGGCAAGGGATGGAGTACATTTCATGAAAGAGGGAGCTATAGCAGTTGGATTGGCTATCATGAAGTTAAATAAGCCGTTTTTAGGGTTGTAGATGGGGGGGCACGGGATCACAAGCAAGGGACAGCCACTACGAGCAGCTTCAGACCGCCGCGTACTGGTGTGCAGGAAAGGCAGGGAAGAGTCAAGTGTTTCTACGCGAATGCACGCAGCTTACGTAATGAAATAAACGAGCTCAGGGAGACGG